AGTAAATCTTCAGTAGCTCGGCTTCAACTAGTACATAATGCTGCAGCTCGTATTTTAACTGGGACCAAACATAGGTCACATACTCGTCTCCCTCCACTGGTTGCCAGTTCACTTCAGACTTGATTTTAAGACTCTTTTACTAACTTTTAAAGCTTAACATGGTTTAGCCCCCAGTTATAAGCTGAGCTTCTGACCACCTACGCACCAAGTCGTGATCTGAGGTCCTCAAGTCTACCCTCACTAGTCGAGGTTGGCAACTAAAGGTGACCGAGCTTTTGACATCAAGGCCCCGAGGCTCTGGAATTCTCTGCCTGAGGAGGTCAGGCTGGCTAGCACATTACACATTTTTAAATCATTGCTTAAAACATATTTTTTATAGGAATGCTTTTCCTTTCATGCCTGATTTGTAACTCTTGTGTTTTATTTCATTTTATTCTACTTTTGCCTCTGTACACACTTTCCTATGCTCTTAACATTTTTTAAATATTGTATTGTTGTCTTATTGTCATGCACTTTGTGAGGCACTTTGTAACCTTGTTTAGATAAGTGCTATACAAACAAAATTATTATTATTACAGGGATGAATGAATTGGTTGGGTCTTGTCACCATGTGTAGCTGTAGTAATATTTCTAAATGTTACTGTATATCTGTTATGTTTTTTATTGTATTGTTGCTGGCTGTAACTTTTTCTTATGCTGCTGTCTTGGCCAGGTCTCCCTTGAAAAAGAGTTTGTTTTTCTCAACAGGACATACATGGTTAAAAATGCATTAAATTAATACATAAACACCATGGCTATCAAATTTCATGTTGTTGACTGAATACTACCACTCAGTCTGACCTTGTCTACAACAAACTGGCCCTGCTGCAGACAAGTTTAGACACTTGTGTGGACTTTGGTCATTTCATATTTACTGTACATACAGATTGTATTGTTAGCCAGGTAGCCAGCAACAATGCGTTATCTAAGGAGGAAGTTACTAAGGCATCTGTATTAAGGCTGGCCTGCTACACACATGTTCATGAGCTGGTTAAATCCTCCTTGCTGTGCCATGTATTTCTGTGTACTAGGCTCAGTGGACACAATAGAAATAAGTTTCAATAATGTCAGTGCCGTATTTATAAAGCTATATCATCTATAGATATAGATAGTAGTATCTGTACATAACACTATAACGGTAGCTGTTTCCACTGAGTCATGTTGAAACTGACTGGTAACCTTAATAAAACAGCAAACGTGATGGAGCATAATATTCCAGTAACATAAATCAGAATTAACACTCAGTGGCAATATTCAATAACTGTAACACAATAAAAAACTGCTTAATATCCATATACTGTGTCAGTAACTTAGCTAAACATGAGGGTAGCTAGCTGCTATGATTTGTTTTGGGAGGTGAACGTCACACAAGCAACACTTCTGAATTTCTGACTTCTGAGATGGAGACAATCGACGCGGAAACTTCGGCAGACAAATATGTGACTCAAATATTAGACCTCTGTTTTTAAATTTCACTCGCTAGTTGTAAAAAATAAATATATATTTCTACATTTACCTTGTTTTCTCACAAATGGGAGTTGCCAACACGGCAATTATCCGCTTTAGTTTTCCCGCAACTAACGTCTTCTTCTGCTTTTGTGTAGGGGCGGTGTGCGACTAATCTTACAGCGCCCCTACTGGTCCGGAGAGTAACTACACACTGCACAGCGGCAGCTCTACACAGAAGGCCATGCTTTATTTATTTATTTATTTATTTATTTATTTATTTATTTATTATTATTTTAATTGAACATCTAGAAAATAATTGTGAACCTTGA